GGGGGTGGGGTGGGGGTGGGGGAGGATGACTCAACGCAGAGCCAGGAATCAACACTGCCTCCCAGACATCCACCAACGTCCTAATGGCTCAGCCCTTCCTGTGATTTACTCACTTTCATTTCAAGCATGAAGGGAAAATACCAAGTACTGGTCAGCTTCCTGAACTTAATTTTGGTTGAAAGGGAGCCGACCACACTTGAAGAGTTGAAATATAATCCCCTGGCATCACGTAAACAATTCTCACATAAATTTTTAACAACTTTGATGTATCTTAGTCATTTTGTCCAATACGAGAAACACAACGTTCACATAAACCCAACCATCTCAGAAGACGTGTACATCATAGTTCTCTAAGCATGTCATCATGAATGGATAAACAATTGTTCACCTGCGACTTGGATCAAGGCCGAACATGATGACTAATGATTTATTGTCAAAAATCAGAACTAAGAACTTGTCATTCAATGTGTCAGTTTCTCAGGGTGGGACAGCAGTAATATTCAGTTACAACGGGCAGACCAATGCTCTCCTCCTTTTGAGGGGTTTGACGTTAGCATAACTGACTGTGAATGAAGCAGCCCGACCATCTGATTATTTCTACGATGAAGAATTTGCCATTATAAAAACCGTGTTGTGAAAGAACATGAAGACCAGACTGGCATTTCCTTTAGTGCAGAGTCTGTACCTTTACCCATCTCTGTAGGTCCCTTACAGCGCCAAGTGCTGAGCCATTGCACATAGTGGATGTTCAATCTGTTTCTGCTGAATGAACGGCAATCAACAGCAGTCATTCATTTAATTTGCCACAGCTCTAACAAAGGGAGAGCTTACCCAGCACGTTTACAAATGCGTTTGCCAGCAAGTATCCGTATTCGTTAGAGGCATTGCACTGATATACCGCACTTGATCTTTCTTGAACGTTTGAAAAAATAATGGTGTCGCCATCTATTTTCCTGCTGGGATCATCGGGGGCAACTGTTTGGGTATAAAAATAGAAAGTATATATTTATTCCTCTTGGCTTAAAAGGTGTAAAGCCTGAGATCTAATTTATAGTCAGCAGAAGCCTGATCTCGGTATATGCAGTCAGAAAGAAAGGACCAACAGCCTAGGCAGACAGCCTGATTTTCCTTCCTCAGAATTCAGCAATCACTTACCAGCATGGGTATATACTCGAGAGCCGTTTAGTCTTCAATGGATTGATTCTTCTCAATATTATTTTGAGAGATGTGAGGGGAAAAAAGCACACCTTAGGGGTAAACTGCAATACAAATTCAGGAAAACATCACCTTGTTCACAAAGAAACTATGGTTATTTATGAAAAGGCAAGTTAATTATCAAGAAGAGACAGCAAAATCTGATCCAAAAATATGGAAACTCTCTAGTTCATCCAAACCTGTGTCTTAAAAAAAATTTTTTTTAATTTTTAGTGGAGGTAGTGGGGATTGAACCCAGGACCTCATGCATGCTAAACATGCACTCTACCACTTAGCTATACCCTCCCCCCC